TTTGCTTCACTTGCTGTAAAAAAGAAATGGTTGGTGTTGCTGCTGGTTTGTAGTTGGGCCCGGGATCAAAAGGTTGCAGAATAGGCTGGGCTGGCAAGTGTGTTTGCTTGGTTTGTCCTGGAGCTGGTGGAGGTGGCAACGGGCTTGGTGGGTAAACGAATGCTCGCGGTAAGTTGTTGAGAGGATGTAGATCTTGATGTAGCGCGTTCGCAACTGATGCCCGAGAGGTACTCGATGTTGCTGCCGATTGCGTTGACATAGCCCGCTGGTTCAACGGTAGCAGCTTCGGAGTGAAGATAGTGAACGACATTGCTGGCCGGATAGGTTAAACAATAATGTGAGCTTACACATTAAAGAAACTGTTCCACTTTTCAACAGATTAACGTAACTGCCCGAAAAGCCTGAACAACTGGGTCAAAAAAAAAAGAAAGAAACAACCTAACAACCCTACAAACAAACACATAAGCCCTTCAAAAATTCCGGACAAATCCTAGACGTCACCGGGGCACTAGTCTCCAAAGTTAAAGTGACTGGGGCGGCGTTTGTGGTGGCACCAAAAAATGTTGAAACCCCAAACCAAAATGGAAAACAGTGGAAGGCCATAAAAATTGGAACCAGGGGACGTATGAACGGTTGTGAGGTGTGAACATTCAGCTTGGGAAATTCGCTGTGGTAGGGAGCATGAAATATGCCAACATATGGTCTGAGAATGCTGAAACGGCTCAGCAAATGGAGAAAAATAGCTCGATCTCGCTTGCATTCTCGTTTCTAACTGTGCTCATGCAAGCACTCTTACAACAGTGCAGTTCCAAAAGCAAAAGGTGCATTCAAATACCAGGTTTGGAAAGAAACACAAAAAGTTATCCAGGATCGAGTAGAAAGGAAATTGCCAAGATTCATCTGTGTGTCACCGACGCTGGTTGGTTGCCCTCTAAACAAGCAAAAACAATCCACACCGCTGTGACCAAAGCATCCCACACACACAAACATAAACAAAAACAAACAGACGTTAACACACACACATGCATCAGAACAAACATACCGAGGGAAAGAGGAGGAGGGAAGAAGATGGTGCTGAATGATGAAAGTGAAGATGATGAGAAATGACTGCGTGCCTAGTCCTCGACCTTGAAGGTAAACCAGGAGAAAAGCGAGATGAATCAAGCTTTTCAGAAACCAGTTGGAAACCAAAGGATGTTCACACACTGGGGTAGTAGAGAAGCGAGCTGGAATGAATCTGAACCATGCTCGAAAAGTTAACAGAAAAATCTCATAGATAGCGGCGCTTGCGCTTAAACTGGTAAAGTTGGAGGGGAAAAACCCCAAAACTTGGAATTTGGGAGGAGAGCGTTTTGCACACTATCCAAAACTGTTGAACTTGAGAGGGCAAGCCTTCTCTAAACCGGCACAATGGCCAAGGTGGGATAAATCCCAAACTACTTGAGCATAAAGCTCCACCTCGTCGCCCTCCCTTGCAGACTTTGGGGAGAGTTCAGTAGCCGACTCGACGGAGCGAAAACGGCCCGCATCTGACACACTTGTAGTGTTACCGCTGAGCGGCCCCCAGTCTTATGCGAACATCCTGATCCAATCGCAGATCTTTTGGAGTTCTTTATGCATAGCCGGAGTTTTGTCGCGCTGGCCAGTTAAACTGACGCAGGGATGAAAATGAAAGAAATCTGTCTCTGTCTCTTTGCAGTTTCGGATGCTCTGCTGGGTTTCCTCATCAGGATGCCCAAGCCCAGCAGAGTGGGCACCGACTGCTTCTCTTGTCTCTCTTTGTTTCTTTGCGCGAAATCGATGATGATGACATGAAACCAGAGGTGAAAGAGGGAACAAGGAAAGGTAAGAACAGGACATGCATTCCCTTTGTTAACAGGGTTCCGCACACACACACACACACGGTCTGGCCGCTGCAGCGCATTTGGTGCCTCTTCGAAGTCTATCACACCATCCGCCTGACTGCCACTGGACACTTCCAAGGCGTGGTATGAAAGCGTTTTGAGTCAAAGATGGTCTTATTTGGTATTTATTATTTGTCGGGTCAGAAATGGGTAGTGGAAACGCACAAACTTAGCGATTTCTATTGGGAATAAACTTGCCAAGAAGACTTAGTAATTTCAGAATTTCTTGGGAATGTGTTCAGGGGGGACAGCAATCGGATTACAGGTTTTCCGCCAGTTTTGTTTGTAAGGTGTGTTTGGGGGCCCTTGGATTGGGGGTCCCTGACGCGTTGCCCTGACTCCGAGCATGCCGTTCCAAGTTTCAAACACTCATCAAATTCGGATGGATGCATGGCATGGAAGTGTCAAGATGACCAGCATCACCAACATTTTTACATATTTTACAGTAACGGAAGACACTTCGACCACAGTCGACAAAGTAGGAGAACATCCAAAAATATTCAAAATGTCAACAAATTGTCTCTGATTTTTTGATTTCCAACGTCAAAACCGGCAGATTTCCTCAGATTTCCAACTGGACGCCGCACTGGACGCCAGGTTTGAGGCTTTGCACCTCCACCGGTGTGCTGCAGGAGGGCCAGGCCGGCACTGACGTGGCCGTGGCCGTGGCCCGCACCGCGGCCAACTTGGACACGTGCGGGGCCAAGGCGACGTCTGAAGGCGACAGGCAGATGATCCATGCAGCTTGGCAGAGGTGATGTGGCCATGATCCCTATGGTATCCCTATGGCTATAATGGATTTACAATGGATTTACAATGGATTTACAATGGATTTATAGTGGATTCACGGATTTATGATGCTTATGGTCCTATGGCCCTTATGGTAATGGATTTAAGTGGATTTGTAGTCGATTAACGGATTTATGATGCTTATGGTCCTGATGGTTATGGATTTATAGTGGATTCGTAGTGGATTAGTAGTTTGTGATGGTTATGATAAGCTAATGACCGGAATGGATGAAAATCACATGATGATCCAAGTTGGATTTCTTTTGAACAGTTGGAAGTTCCAAATGTTCAAATGGCCGCTTTGGTGCTTTGGGGCGAAAGATTCAACACAGTGGAACCGTCCCACACGATATCAGCGTGTGCCCAGGCCTTGATCGAGGCCATGCCTGGTGGATTTGCTGCCATGAACAGTTTTGTGCGTGAGACGATTTGCCTTGCTCTCGAAGCATCGAATATTCACTACGAGAAGACTTTCAAGACCTTAGTTGCTGAGTTGACTGCTAGCATTGCCAAAGATGAGGATGAGCGCGCACCGCTTCCAACACTTCTCACCAGTGTCCGGGAGCAAGGTGGCAAGGATCACAAAAATTAGCTGCAGGGCCAAGAGAGATCCACAAAGTTTGGATTATTTCTTAATGTTTCCGCGATCGAGGCCACAAGATGCCAAGTTCCCTTCGAGAAATGCATGAGACAGTACCAAGACTGTTCCACCACGTTCCCTTCCACACGCGGTCCATTCCATGGCATGTCGCATTGCGGTTGCCTCCAGGTTTATCAGCCGAGGTGTTTCATGGGACTTGGTCTCTCAGGAGCATCAAGGGATGTTTCTGATTTCAAGTTGGAAAATGTCATTCTGGCTGCTGATAGCACCTGATAGCATCTGATAGCTACTTGAATCCAGCAGTTCCGCAGCTGTGCGCCATTTGCCTGTCAGCCGTTTTGGCTCCGAAGTGATTTCTCCAAAGCGTTTTCTTGAGTGTGGCATCAGCAGGCTTTCTGGAAAACCCAGAGCAAGTATCCACAGGGATCACATGAACAAGTTAACTTGAGAATAATTATCTCAAAATAGTTCACCGTCGATACAATTCCTTTGTGTTTTTGTTGGATCATCCTTTACTTGAGCACGTGATTTTCAAATGTAAATGCAGCAGCTATGCCCACAGGTTCATTTATTACCATTTATTGTAGACGGAGCCATTTCTAGTTGCAGGCCGATGCGGCGACTCATTTTTGTTGTCCTTTCCATTCCTTCATCTCTCGAATCTGATGCCCATGGTCTACATCATCATCTGCATATGGTCCGCTGCTGTGTCCGAGGCAGTCCTGATGCCCATCAGTCCCTCCTTGCCATTCCTTCGAAGCGAAATTCTGGACATGGATGCCTATGCCGCCTATGCCGCCTATGCCCCAGAGCGAAGTAGGGTGAACGACACCGCGCCCGAGCAGAGATGTTACGCGGATTTCTACTGGCCGCATTTCAGTATCTTGGCCCTGACATCTCTGGCCATCTGTGGATTTCTTGAGGTCAAGTGATGCGTTCATCATGCCGCGCATGAGAAAACAAGTGGACCGTTGACGATTGGTTGCAATCAGAACTGTAGAGAGGCTTTTCAGTTTCAACATAGCAGAGGTACGTGCGAGAAAGATCGGGAAAGCACGGGGCGGTTGACCATATTTTTGCTTTGCGATGACGTTCGATGGAAGTGGGAAGGTTTCAGCGAAGCTCAACTGAGTCGATTGCTCAACACTTCTCACTAGTCGGCGGGAGGAAAATAGTTCCAAAAGAAAGCTGCAGGGTTCCTTGAAAAAGTGTAGTCGTAAAAAGACTTCGTACGCTCATTTCACAGTATCTCACACTTGACTGCAAGCAGTGCAAGGGTATATAGACTAATATAGGCCATGTGGGGTTGGGTCAAAAGTGATCAAACTACAGTGGATCGTTCCCCATCAATTCTCATCACGATGGCAGTCTTCCCATCCAGTTCGTTGACCCATGGTCCCTCGGACTGGCCTGGTCCCGAAGTGGCTGACAAATTTCATGGTCACTAGCCGGGCTCCAGCCACAGAGCAAGACAGGAGATCTTGGTGGCCTCAACCGATGTGCTCGTCAAAAACATGCCCTGATGTTTCTGGAATGCTCAGTCTCCGGCAGTTCAGGAGGTAAAGCACGAGATAAAGTAATTACAGTCCTCCCAATATAAAATCCAACTAGGATAGATGACTTTATTGGGGGTGTCTGCAGGTGGAAGTAAACTAGATGGGACATTCAGCCCTGCAAATGGCTTCATGCGTTCAGTTTTCTTTGTTTGCTGTGGCGCAGTGGCCAGCCATGGTATCGCCATCGATGCCATCCCTTGGCTTCTTCCTAACACTGACGTTTGCTTGGTTGGTTTTCCCTCGTGAGGCGCAAGAACGGTGGCCCAAGGAGGAGAAGGGCAAACAGCTTTTTTCATGGTTCAGCGCGGGTAAACCTTCATGGTGCCAAGCTGAGCCTGGTAGCTGTGTGGGCCGCCGGCAAACATACAAGGAACCCGTGGTCATCGACTTGGTTGACCGTGAGGTTAAATCAATTGGTGACATAAGGCGGTTCGTGGATTGGGATGGAGATGGCGATGTTGACTTTTTGGCCACGTACTTCGACAAAGTCCGTCAGGCTCACGGCTATTATGGTTATCACTTGGGGTTCTTCGAACGTCTGGGGAATGACACTTTCAGGATACATGACTTGTTGCAGAGCTGTGTAGATGAAGTGGAACTACATCGTTTTGGCTATCAGTACAGCGAACTTCTGCATTTTGAGGTGGCTGATTGGGATGCAGATGGTGGCATGGATGTGCTGGTGGCTACATATCTGAATGAAAGTTTGGTGGTGAGCTGGGCGAATCGAAGTACTGCAATGGGACATGGCGAACTCAGACGGATCTCAGTGATTATGGCTGATAGCCACCTGGAGCCTGAGAATGAGATTAATGAATACTCTTTTCCTTGGAACATGAAAGCTGTTGATTGGGATCTCGACGGCGACGCCGATTTGATTTTGGGCTCAAATTATTTCGAGCGTGTTGATCCAGACACAGTCGTCCAGAGGATTGGAGATCAGAACCCGTTGGTGCCAGATATGCTGAACCCATCGGACATCAGTGACATCAGTATGGGTGATGATGGTTACTTGAACATGGTGATGGCAGCAGTCACGCATTTGGAATATGGAACCCGGGGAGGTTCCCGGGTCAGCTTTCGATCCTTCAAACGCACACTGGATGGAGCCTTTGTCGAGCAAGTCGAACATCCGTTGCAAGACCTTTGGGTTGAAAACCCGATGAGACAGCCGCCTAAATCGTTTCTGGCCGACTGGAACTCAGACGGTTTGCCCGACATTGTAGTTTGGAATCTATGGAGCCAGCTGGAATGGTATGAGCGTACTCAAGAGAGAGACATGGCTCAGGATCACCACACCACTCTCTATGATGACATCGAGATTGATGGTAGTTGCTCGGAACTACATCTTTTTGATTGGAACGGTGATGGTTTCGAAGATGTGTTGACATACTGCGGACATCAATTTCAATTGTACCTGTTTGATGGAAAGAAGCATTTGGAAGTTTTGGGAGTGTTTGCTAACATAACTTGCAACCAAGCATGCAGCATAGCTATGTCTGACTGGGACCGTGATGGTGATGCTGATGTGATTATCACTTCCAACTCTGGACATGTGCACTATCACGAGATGATTGATGGACGCCTTCAGGAGGAACAAATTCAGCATCCATTTTCTGGCTTGCACTTGATCGTGCAAGGTGTTTCGGGGGGACGTTGGTCAGGGAGATGGATTCCACAGCCTCTAGCAGTGGATTGGGACAACGACGGGGATGTTGACTTGGTTCTTGGGCCTCCGGACTTTCGCTACTTTGAACGGCTGTACGATAGCAGCCTGTCAGAGTGGTCCAGAGAAGAGAGTCCCTTTTTCATTGCTTTAGCCGGAGATATGGATGTTGTTGCCTGGCGATTCTTCGACTGCGACTCTGATGGTGATTTGGACTTGGTCATAGTCCGCGTCGAACCATCTTATGCCCTAGTAGGTACCTCCTTCCATGTTTGTGAGCATACCGAGCATCATGCCTTGCGATGTGAGGGCCATATTTTGTGCTTGGGGACCAACCTGGGCAATTTTCATTCGGAAAGTGGGCCACTTGGCAAGTTGTCCGGCTGGGATTTTGGCAGCGCAAGAGATGGTCAGCTGGAAGTGCTTACAATGCACCAAGACAAAGTCTTGCATTGGAGGGCCGGAGTTTGTCCAGCACTTGATCCATGCCACGAGAAAGGTCTTTGCTTGCATGGGAAGACCAGCTGTAGTTGTATTGAAGGCCATGAGCTGGCAGATTGTTCAGGTTGTCAACCCAATTTCTATTCAGTAGAGATGTCATGGGGCAAGGCTCATGGGTGCGAGGCATGCCCGGGTGAAGGTGGTAAGGTTTGCCATGATCGAGGTCTTTGCTTTGATGACTTTGCTGCCAAGAACGATTCCCAGATGGCAACTGCTGCACTGATGGCCAGGGGCCACGGTTCATGTCTTTGTTCTGAGGGCAGCTTCTATGGGATTGACGAGCAAGGTCGAAGCACTTGTGCGGAAGGACATTGCCCAGCTGGAACAGAAGAGACGCATGGAATTTGTATTTCCTGTCAGGCAGGCACTTACTCACTTGCTGGAGGAGCTTGCAAGAAGTGCGGCCCAGGCACAAAGTCTTCCAAAGGAAGCAGTGCCTGTGAGAGATGCTCCCCTGGAACCATATCTCCGGGCTTTGGCAATTCGAATTGCGAGGAATGTGCAGCCGGAAAATACGAAATCAGCCGGCAGTGGTGCAATGATTGTCCCTCTGGCTCTATTTCATCTGCTGGAAACGACACCTGCACGAAATGTACAGAAGGTTTTTATGCTACCCTGAAGGGCAGCAGCATATGTGACCCTTGTCCTGCTGGCACGTATTCAGAACTGGGCAATACAAAATGCATTCCTTGTCCTTCGGGGCAATTTTCTGGGGTTGGAAGTTCGGCTTGCAGCATGTGCAGTGCTGGAACCATTGCCAGCAAAGCAGGAAGCACGGAATGTGAGTTGTGTCCTGCTGGAACGTATGCAGAAGAGGGGGGTGCAAAATGTATTCCTTGTTCCCTGGGGCAATTTTCCGGTGTTGGAAGTTCGGCTTGCAGCATGTGCAGTGCTGGAACCACTGCCAGCAAAGCAGGAAGCACGGAATGTGAGTTGTGTCCTGCTGGAACGTATGCAGAAGAGGGGGGTGCAAAATGTATTCCTTGTTCCCTGGGGCAATTTTCCGGTGTTGGAAGTTTGGCTTGCAGCATGTGCGGTGCTGGGACCATTGCCAGACAAGCAGGCAGTACGGAATGTGAGTTGTGTCCTGCTGGAACATATGCAGAAGCAGGCAGTTCCAAGTGTCTTGCATGTTATGCGGGCACAATTTCAGGCGCAGGCAGTGGGAATTGCAGCCACTGCGCTTCAGGTCATTTTGCCAAAGACTCAGTGGCGTGTGAAGCATGTCCAGGTGGCACTGCTGCTATTGACGGTGCGTGTCGCAGCTGTCCGTCGTGTGTCCGGTCCCGCAAGCGCGTCTTGTTCAAGTTGCGACAGCATTCTGATCCGAAGAACCCCTGACCCAGCCAAGCAAAACTGCCAGATTTCAGGGCTGGAGGTGGTTCTTGCTTTGATAGGATTGCTGACCTCGGCTGGTTGCTGCTTTTTGTGTTTCAGTGGCTGTTGTGCCCGCGTTCCGATTGCCGACATCAGCGACGCACAAGGACAAAAGCTGGTGGTGACAACATCGATTGCGCACCAAATTTTGAAATCCAAGAAAGCCCGAGAAGTGACATTTCATAACACTGAGGTGCCTGATTTGGAAAAGGAACCCTGGAAAGTGAGTGCCTTAAGTTCCTTCCAACTGACATTGCAAGCAGACCACAGGGAGAACCCCTTGGACACTTCCATGGGAACGTTACGCCTGAAGTTTCCCCTTGGATTTCTGGTTACCGGATTCTGGCGCTGCCCTACAATCTGTTGGTGTCTTCTGTTCTTGGCCGCAACCGTGGCCATCATGAGTCGGCTCACCTGGTTGTTGACTCTGCTTCTTTGTTGTTTGGGCTTTCTCTTGGGATGGTCAGCGTTTGCGTTTCGAAGGAGGCAGGGGCCAAGAGATTTTTTTTTTGCGACACGTGCTTCAAACTTCGGTTGATTTACGGCACAGACTCATTTCAGGTTTAGTTGTTGAATTCGATCTTGTTCAATCTTTTCCCGCGGAGTTCAGTCCAGACGAGTTTCCTATTTTCGCACCGGGCCCTGCAGCATCGACCAGTTTAGCAGTTTATCAAAGAGATTGGGGGATTGAACTGGCTGTGACGATTCAACTTTACCCAAAGTCCGGCTTTCGAAGGTCCCAAGTTCCAAAGAGTCCAACTATCCTCTGCTGAACAAAGCTGGCAACTAAAGAATCACATAGAATCACCATGTTCGGTAGATTCCGGTAGATCATCATCCTTTCATGGTTGGATGATGCTGGATGATTTTGAATCGCCGACTTAGTTCACCACACGGCCCACGGTATGGTGACCTCGTTCCCACGCTGCCGCAGGGCTCGGACCCCGTTGGCCAAGCGTCTGCGGCAGTTCCTGAAGGAGTGGCCGTTGCAACTGCAGAGCTGCCCACGAGGACCTGAACGATCCATCACCGTGGGGAAGTTGCAGGACTTCTTGCAGCCGCCCGTCACGAAAAACCTCCGAGGTTTGGTTGTGCTAACGTGTTTTTTTTTGGGCTCGCGGTTTTGCCGATTATGGATCGCATTTTAAATATAAACGGTTTTTACTTTATGAGGGCAACTTATGTCCAAATATGACTGAATAAATTGAGTTGTGCTCCATTTGGACAAGTGAGCTTGCCCCGAAACGCACTAAAAATCCATGTGGGGTGAGCATCCTTCAGATTGCAGCTCACAACCTCGATGACATTTTGGCCTCATCATGAAATCACCCAGTGGAGAGGTGGGAAGATGTGGCGAACCTGTCAACACAGCCTGCACAACCTGAGGTTTTTTGATACTTTCATCAAGGAGCGTAGCATGTACTACGTCTGTGGCAACATCATCAAGCCACTCACCGAACCGTTCCAACTTTCCTGGGCGGAAATGGTGGGTCCCGACCCCATGGAGTGGTTCGTCAGTCACTACTGGGGCATGGCAGCCCGACATTTAGGCGAAGCCATTCGCAAACATGCACAGTCTGCATCGTCAACTGACTGGCGAGACACGGCCTATTGGATTTGCACCTTTAGCAACAGCCAGTGGGATGTGAAAGCTGAGTTGGGCAATGGACAATGGCAGGAACCCGGGGTTGGGAACGGTGGGGAACGCGGTGTGATTTGACCCGTGATGTCATTCTACTTATCATCGCAAATCATTGTACCTTACATAGCCCTTGGCCTCTCACCTCACCCCCGAAGTTATCTTTCCCAAATTGAGGAATTCCAATTAGTTGGAAGCAAAGACCATCAATCTGAAATAATCTGAAGCGTGGGGTATCGCTAGCCAAAGCCTTATCAGACTTCAGCGACTGCCCTAGGAAAGATGTTCTGCACTTAGGCCTGTGAAGCCGAAAAACAACAAAAACAGAGACATGAGTTGCGTGCTGCGGCCTTACAGATGACCACAGACTCAATGATTACATAAACATGAATTACGCAGCATGCCTCGAATTCGACACGTTTCGATTTGGGATGGGTTTGTTGTGGGCGCGAGATTTTGAGGATTTGTGGGAAGTTCCTTCCATAGAGGCCTTTCAAAAGTATGTAGCATCTCTTTGAGAAGTAGCCTTCAAGACACACAGCAGTCCTAGTGAAAGAATCTGGCTGAGTATGGTGTGATTTACAGTAAGTTGTTGTACAAAAGGGAACCCTTTCATATATACAACAATCCCTTTGAAAGAGGGTGATGTGTCTGTAATAAAGCGCAATGCATGGAATTGCCATTTTTTTGTTTTTTTTTTGTTTGTTTGTTTTTGGTTCTTGGATTAATCTGGATTAATCCACCGCAAATTCAACATTTTATGAGGATATGTCTAACACTTTTTTTTCATATGAGAAGGCCTGCATGTGAGCTCTAAATCACGCATTTTTGCGCGCCCACAACAAGCCTATGTGCTCGATTTCGCAGGAGTCTTCTTTCTACAAGGCTCTGCAAAGCCCAAGGTGCAAAGGCACCGCCATGATCATCGATGAGCAGGTGTGGTCGTCAGAATCCAATCCGGAAGACTGTGAGGGGGGCGGAAGTGGTGCTCTCAACCGCACTGCAACCATTTGTTTCATCCACATGGCTGTGGTCATCGGTGGTGCATGGTGGTACCATGTTGGGATCATTTCCATCTAAGATTGACGATTTTTGATTATTTTTGATGGTGATGGGGTAACAGGGTGCCATGGCCCAGAACCATAGTGACCTTCGGTGACCTTTGGTTCAACTTTGGCAGGTCTGGCCGCTGCAGCGCATTTGGTGCCTCTTCGAAGTCTATCACACCATCCGCCTGACTGCCACTGGACACTTCCAAGGCGTGGTATGAAAGCGTTTTGAGTCAAAGATGGTCTTATTTGGTACTTATTATTTGTCGGGTCAGAAATGGGTAGTGGAAACGCACAAACTTAGCGATTTCATCAAATTCGGATGGATGCATGGCATGGAAGTGTCAAGATGACCAGCATCACCAACATTTTTACATATTTTACAGTAACGGAAGACACTTCGACCACAGTCGACAAAGTAGGAGAACATCCAAAAATATTCAAAATGTCAACAAATTGTCTCTGATTTTTTGATTTCCAACGTCAAAACCGGCAGATTTCCTCAGATTTCCAACTGGACGCCGCACTGGACGCCAGGTTTGAGGCTTTGCACCTCCACCGGTGTGCTGCAGGAGGGCCAGGCCGGCACTGACGTGGCCGTGGCCGTGGCCCGCACCGCGGCCAACTTGGACACGCGCGGGGCCAAGGCGACGTCTGAAGGCGACAGGCAGATGATCCATGCGGCTTGGCAGAGGTGATGTGGCCATGATCCCTATGGTATCCCTATGGCTATAATGGATTTACAATGGATTTATAGTGGATTCACGGATTTATGATGCTTATGGTCCTATGGTCCTTATGGTAATGGATTTAAGTGGATTTGTAGTCGATTAACGGATTTATGATGCTTATGGTCCTTATGGTAATGGATTTATAGTGGATTAGTAGTTTGTGATGGTTTTGATAAGCTAATGACCAGAATGGATGAAAATCACATGATGATCCAAGTTGGAATTCTTTTGAACAGTCGGAAGTTCCAAATGTTCGACTGGCCGCTTTGGTGCTTTGGGGCGAAAGATTTAAGACAGTGGAACCGCCCCACACGATATCAGCGTGTGCCCAGGCCTTGATCGAGGCCATGCCTGGTGGATTTGCTGCCATGAACAGTTTTGTGCGTGAGACGATTTGCCTTGCTCTCGAAGCATCGAATATTCACTACGAGAAGACTTTCAAGACCTTAGTTGCTGAGTTGACTGCTAGCATTGCCAAAGATGAGGATGAGCGCGCACCGCTTCCAACACTTCTCACCAGTGTCCGGGAGCAAGGTGGCAAGGATCACAAAAATTAGCTGCAGGGCCAAGAGAGATCCACAAAGTTTGGATTATTTCTTAATGTTTCCGCGATCGAGGCCACAAGATGCCAAGTTCCCTTCGATAAAAAGAACCCCCTCTTCTTGCTTCGTTGTGCATGAGACAGTACCAAGACTGTTCCACCACGTTCCCTTCCAGCACATCACGCGGTCCATTCCATCGCACGACTTCGCAGCCTCCAGGTTTCTTGCCGAGGTGTTTAATGGGACTTGGTCTTCTCAGGGGCATCAAAGGAGATGTCTCTGGTTTCAAGTTGGAAAATGTCAGGGACTTCTGGCTACTGATATTTGAATGGAATCCAGCAGTTCCGCAGTTCACAGAAAACTTCGCAGCTGTGCGCCATTTTGCCTGTCAGCCGTTTTGGCTCTGAAGTGATCTCTCCAAAGCGTTTTTTTGGAGCACCTCGGTGTGGCACTGGCAGGCACGCACTCCTCCAGAAGCAGAGGCCAAGGCATGTTTGCTCAGTGATTTTGAGAGCTGAAGGCCAGTTAAAGGGAATTATGCCCTTCCGTGGTGAACACATGTTTCCTTCGCTGTGTCAATAGTGATTTTGTAGATGGTTCTGTCACCCATTGTCAGAGCCGAATTTGAAGCGAACAAGTATCAACAAGCGCTCTGTGCCTGAATCTGTTTGTGCTACTGTATATTTAATTTGTATGTTCTGCATCAAGAGTAGCAGTGTGAGAAGTCAAACAAGGTTTTGGCCAAGTTATCTCCAATCGCATCCAGATGTTGCGGGCATTCCAGGCATTCAGTCGCCCAGCAGGGAAGTTGCAGTGTCCCTTGCGTCTCGTGCAATTGAGGGGAAAGTCAGAGTTCTCAATCACGATCACTTCTTCTCATATGCAAAGGTTGCTGGTGCCGAAAGACGATGCTTTGATTCAAATGATTCAACAACACCCGGATGCCCGTGGTGTCATTCAGAAGATAGAGTTGACAGGCCGAACAGGCCTCAGGTTGCGCGCTTGTCGTGTGATCTTGGGAAGCACATCAGAGAAAACCAACATAGACAAGGCAATTAAAGCCGCAGAGGCAACAAACGAACTGCACAAGCAGCAGATGTTCACCACTGTGCGTTCGTTTTCAAGCCTAAAGAATGAAGTGATCCCTCGCGCTCGAAGTCTCTCAAAGAAAATTGCCAAGGAGAGAGCAGAGAGATCTTCCATACAAGACTACTTCATGTCAATGTGTTCTGACAGCAAGGAAGATGTGCGTCGCTGTGAGAAGTATAAGAGGGAGATAAGAGGTCTGATGTCTGCACTGGAGTTGAAAGGTGCGGACATGCCGCCTGCTGGAGCTATTGAAAAAGCGAGCAAAGAGGCAGAAGAACTCTTCAAGCTCCTCATGAGCAAATGTTTACCCCAGGCCCTCAGTCGACAGCTACATGACAACACCACTAAGTTAGACGATGCAAAGAAATTGCTGGATGAGAAAGTGAAGGAGTCTCACCAGATCCGGGAAGGGCAGCATGAAGTGAAAGCAGGCATGGAAGCTTTAAGGCAGAGAGAAGAGCAGCTCAAGAGGAAGGAAGAAGAAGCCAAAGCGGAACTCTGCAAATTACAAGCCCAGCTGAAGGAAATTGAGAAACGGCTGCGAGACTACACCTTCAGGAAGTACGGCTGTTGGGTTGAGGCATGGAGAAGGGATGTGGAGTTGGCTGAGACAGAGAAAGCCGAGAAACTGAATCAGATCGGACAGTGCGAGAAAAAAAATCAGGAAATCCAAAAGGACATCCAGGACTTGATTGCAACAAAGGATGGTGAGACAGCAATCACCGCGGCAGATTCCGAAAAGATCCAGGGTCGATTGAAGGTCGCTGAGCAGAAGGTGGAAGAAGCGATGAAAGAAGTGAAGACATGTGAAGAGAATTTGAAGACAACCAACTCTGAGATTTTACAAGAGTGCAAGAAACTTGGTGCCTCCGATCTAGAGGAGGCAAAGATGCTGCAATTTATGGCCCAAGTGCTTGAAGTCGACATGGAGCTTGGAAGAGGGCTTGACCAATCTACCCCGGGTGAAAGCGCTATCCAGCAAGCCCAGGAAAAAGTCAACCGATTGCTGGAGGAGACAACAGAGGCAACAAAAGACAAGGAGATACAGGAGGGCTTGGACAGTTTCTTGGAAAATTTTCCAAACGACAATGATGCGCTACGCCCTGAAGACGGCGCAATGGCAGCGTACTTGAACCTTTGTCCACTGATCGACCGTGGAGAGATGGTATACGTCTTGAGCAATAGCTTTAGTGGACGCCAAGGTCAGCAGCAGTTTCTTGAGGAGTGAGGCAAAAGCCACTGGCGATGCAATGTCGTGGGATCTAGTAGATCCACGTAGTTCTGACGAGCAGTCTGAGCGCGAACAGAGAAGCGTGTCGGAAAAAAGAGAGAGAGAAAGCAGTCCAGACCACAGACCGTGTGCACAAGATCTCTGAAGAATAAGTGAGTACTAACATGTTGTATTCAGCGATGGCTCATAAGCAGCATCGCATCCTGCCAAGCTCTTGACTTATCTCTTCTCCCCTGGGCCCCTGAACTGACTTCGAGTGTTCAGCTTGCACAGCCAGGTGGAAAGTTAAAAAAATGATCGATGGCTGTGCAAGTTGCTCGTATCCACTTGTGAGGAGCGTAGTTGCCAGTGGTTGCCCGCATAATCGTTATCCATCCTCGAATCCATTTGTTTGTTCTGATACGGTCCCCAACATCAGGAGTGAAGACCGTCAAGGGGGAAAGTGAATGAAAACAGAAAGAGAATGAGACGTGGTCTGGAGACCTTTTCTAAAATAGACCTGTCTAAGACAACGTTTCTATCGTTGTCTCCAAGAGCCACCTGGGAGGAGCCTTGGCAAATTGGCAACACTTTGCAGCACTTCACAGGTTTGTTCCTCGCATGAAGCCACTGCTTGCAGTGTGCGTTGCAAAGAAGGAAACGTCTCTGCTGCTTTCTTGATTGAGTGTCTCCGATTTGAAGCCAGATGTTTTTCGAAGTTCTTTTTTATGCATGTTATTGTTTTCTGATGTTTTCTGGCAAGTGAACATCCATTGTTGTGAGACTCCACGGCATTCTACCTATCCAAAACATGCAAGGGTTGACTGAACGGCCCGTTTCTCCTGACATCAGGCCTTCTTGTGAGAGCCTGGGGGAAGCCCCAGCACGACCAAGTAGCCTCCAAGAGAAGGCCTTTCTTTAAGTGCACTTGAGACACTTTTCACAATAGGCTCCACTTGGATTCGATTTGCACACTTTTTACTGGAAGTTTTGTGCTTTCAAGCAGGTACTCTTGACAAGAAATTTATGGTCTGTTCAGTTTGTTCTATGCTGCTAGCACGCCTTTGGCTGGAACAGTCGTGCAGTCGCTGGATTCTTAGCATGTGTTTCTGTGCAAAGATCTTCTGAAGCCATGTTCGGTCTTATCTTCCTGACATGGCTTGCAACAGCAGCAGGCACTTGTTTGCCCAATGGGGTCATCCCGGAGCTGCGTAAAAATCTGACCAATGCACAGGGAGAATCATTTCCTGTGGGCGTGATTTTGCAGCCCTACGCCTCAGCCAGATTGGCGCATGAAGTTCTGGCTGTTCTGATCACGGAGGTGCTTGGGTACAACTTGCGGAGCGACCCGAATGTTCCACCATCATCCGTCGACATGCTGTATGCCATGGTGGGTTGTAAGACGTGGTTCAATAAGGACGATCGCGGATGTGAGGTGCGCAAGATCGAACTGCACTTGGCCGTCGAAAGTTGGCATCTCTCATACCCCAACTCAGTGGAAAGCGTGCGGCAGACCTACCAGGCAGAGATGCCACTCAGTGCTGATATGGGCTATATGGGCGACACCGGCCAGTACATCTCCGCAAATGCGGTTGAGGCAGAGGCAAGAGTTTCCCATGGTTTCATGGTTTCATCAACGACTGTCATGGGCATGTCGTTCTTCAACCACCATGTGTTCCATTGTTTTCTCGAAACACAATGTTTATCCTAAATCCTTTGTATGCAATACAAGATGTTGGTGCAGTTTTCTGCCAGTTGGGTGCTTAATAGAGGAGTGTCCATAGTCTATAGGATTATAGGGATGATTTTGGATCTGAGTTGCTCCCAGGCCCCTTCAAGCTGGTAAGACAAACCATATTATATAAATTTATACAACATATTGGTTTTTTCCCTATCCGGACCCCAACCCGACTCATATGCCCAACGGTGGAAGATTTGCTGTTTGTTGCATACCAATGAGGCGGCCCAAAGCACAAGAGGCTTGGCACTGGAGTACCACAAGAGTTCCCTGGAGTTGAGGCATTTGTTATTTTTCCAGTTGGTGAATCTATATGGAATATGATGGATTTTTTTGTTTTGCGGGGCAGCTTAAACAAATCCCAGGTTATGATCCAAAGTGGCATAAGGAGCGCGTTGTCAAACATCTTCGCCAGCTGTGACAACTTCACAAGTTTGGAAGTCTATGTTATTGCTCTCATGTTCTCCGACACGTGGTAGGTTTCATGTGGATTAAAATGGTTTTCAATTCCTTTTGAAGAGGCATTGGACTTCTTCGACAACATCTCTGTGGCCAATACATCCTATTTCTTTAAATGTGAAGAGAGCCAGTTGAGCAGTAACGAGACCATGTTTGCCTATTTGAAGTGGACAGGCGGGCATCTAAAGATTTGCCACTTATTTTTGAAGTTTGGTGTCTTTGTTTTCTAAGAGCGCTCTACAGCTAGACCTTGCGCTGGTCAAGAAGTTTGTTCTTTTTCCCCACCTGCCAGGTGAGGGTTGTTAGATTTTATGTCAGTTGCCTCCTCCTTCTCCTCCGCCTCCTGCCTCCTCCTCCTCTCCTCCTCCTCCTCGTCCTCCTTGTCGTCCTCGTCGTCCTCGTCGTCCTGGCTCAACTGCGACCCGCGATCCACAGTGTTCTCTGCCGGACCTCAACCACGACCACCCACGCCCAGTGTTCCCTGCCGGACCTCAACCACGACCACCCACGCCCAGTGTTCCCTGCCGGACCTCAACCACGACCATCCGCGCCCAGTGTTCCCTGCCGGACCTCAACCACGACCATCCGCGCCCAGTGTTCCCTGCCGGACCTCAACCATGACCATCCGCGCCCAGTGTTCCCTGCCAGACCTCAACCGCGAGTATCCATGCCAACTGTTCCCTGACATATCTTCTGGCATTCTATCTGGCAAATCTTCTGGCATTCTATCTGGCATATCTTCTGGCATTCTATATGGCAGATCTTCTGGCATTCTATCTGGCATATCTTATGCCATTCTATCTGGCAAATCTTCTGGCATTCTATCTGGCATTCTATCTGGCATATCTTCTGGCATATATTCTGACATATCTTCTGGCATTCTATCTGGCATATCTTCTGGCATTCTATCTGACATATCTTCTGACATTCTATCTGACATCTTTTCTGACATTCTATCTGGCATTCTATCTGGCATATCTTCTGGCATATCTCCTGGCATTCCTTCTGGCATTCTTTCTGACATTCTATCTGACATCTTTTCTGACATTCTATCTGGCATTCTATCTGGCATACCGTCTGGCATTCTATATGGCAGATCTTCTGGCATTATATCTGGCATATCTTCTGGCATTCTATCTGGCATACCTTCTGGCATTCTATCTGGCATTCTATCTGGCACTCTATCTGGCATATCTTCTGGAATATCTTCTGGCATATCTATCTGGCATATCTTCTGGCATATTTTATGGCATTCTACCTGGCAAATCTTTCCCTGCCGGACCTCATGTAGGAAGATATGGGACAAAGAATGTGCAGAAGAAAGTTAGAAAGAATTTCAGACAAGTATGTGATATATTACTTGCGAACTTGCAGGTGTGTGGTAGTGTGATCGGGGCAATGCCACTATTGACTTTGCGGGTGGCAAAGTTTGAAGCAATCAGTTTGAACAGATGACAGAGTCACTGGGGTGGACAGAGACATTTCCATTTCTGTACCTTTGGAGCTGTTTGCAAAGACGCTTGAGACAGGCAACATCTTACAGCAAGTTACTACAAATTACTTGAAGGGATCTCATGCTGGATTGATGCTTGAGACAGTCAACATCACACAGAGTTTCTATTGTGTATCACAGCTATGGTAGCATGGTGGATATGTGACATCGGAACATTTGCTGGAGCATTTGCGCCCTCATCTACTCGATCGCGGGCCAGAGGCAGGATGGACATCATCATAGAAGCATTCAGCAGGAGGAGGTTATGTGATCAGTAGTGTCTTCTTGCGTGTTTTTGTTTGCTTGGCAGGTGATGGCAGAGGGTGACCAATCTGCGAGTGCTGCGCAGGCGAGGAGTTTGAGTGGAAGTAAGCACATTGGCCAGTAAGTGTTGGATAAGTGATTTGGAAAGCAGCTTGTGCTTTGGGACCTTGCGCAACAGCCGAGGCGAGCTCAAGCACAAGCAGAAACGTGAATAAGATAATGGTGCTCAAAGGATAGGGAGATGAAACGCTTGAGAATATAAATGTAGTAGGTGTATCTCTTCGAAATGTTTCAGTGAGAAAGAGTGGAGAAGTTACATACGATCTAGATATTTAGATGTCGCTTGACACTGCAAGATGGACACTGTCTTTTTGCACTTGGGAAGTTTGAACACATTGGGACTGAACTGGTTTTGACCGGGAAGGTCTTGTGTTTCAAGAGCCATGGCAAAGAGATCATGGCCATTTGGTGTCACGAGTTGGGATGACACTGTGAAATTTGCGCAGCTTTTGTTTGGTGTAGACGTTGTCTATGAGAATTATGCAGAGAGATTGCCGCATAGATCGAATAAATCTTTCTTGCTCTTCGCCAAAGGCGCTTGTGCTGAGGGAAGGCCCTTCTTCGAGATCGGAGATCTCATCGCGCCACAGCTGGAAGAGATTCAACGTTGGGAAGAAAATGTTCGCAACAACAATGCTCGCCCAACGAAATCGCAGCAGATGCTGAATGCTGACGGATGGACTGTGTACTACTGGAGTGCGCAGGTGACGCGTGCTCCGTGTCTGTGTCGCTCCATCTTTGGAGCTGACGCTCACCAGAAACACGTGCCAACTTCATCGGCCATGTGGAAAGCTGGAAGCAGATTTGAGAAATTATGGGACGCCACATTGATGAAGAACTATGAAGCTTTTCAGAATCGAGACCTGCGTCCCACTTGGCTTGACAAGTCGTGGCAGGTGTTGTGGAACTGGAATGATCACAACAAAAATCATGGAATCAGCCCTCATTCAGATGAGTCTGCCACCTACAGCAATGTTGATCCGATCACGTCCTTTTCCTTTGGGCATGGGGGTGTGTTGACCTTGGGCTCCAAAAAAGGTTCAGTGACAAGAATGTTGTTCCAAGAAGGCGGTGACGCTTTGGTGATGGCAGGAGACTTCCAAGCAGAGTTTTGCCATGGTGTGCCGGCGCGCTCCACTTGGAAAGACTTGAAGTTGCTTCCTATGTTCGCTACAATGCAAGAGTGGGAGAAAGTTGGGCTGCAGCAGGAAATTGCTTTGCATGAAGGTGCTGAGCCAGAAGCCAAGCATGTCCGTATGAATTGCACGGTCCGCTGGCACAGCACACATTGGGCTGGATGTCCGGTGTGGGGGCAGGAAGGTCATGGGACTCAACCGGTTTCGACTGGAGCTGTCCAGACGTCTTCAAGCTCTTTGGCGCCTGGCGAAGACCCTGTGAATGTTTCTGCTGGAGCTGCGGCAAGTACCCAAGGGACTCAACCGGTTGTGACCGGGGCTGTCCGGGTGCCTGCTGCAAGCGTGGTGGATCCAAAGCAGTCGCTTCTTTTCACTGGCATTAAGAAGCGAGGTGTGGAAGAAGAGGCAACGCCCTCTGTCAGCACAGTGAAAACATCTCGTTCGGGTGAAGACTTGCTGCTGGAGCGCTCGGATGAGACAATTAAGATTCTACTGGATTGTATTGAAGCATGCGTGCGACAGAATGATCTGTTTAGGGTGGCCGTTACCAGCACTCCATTGGTCGCAGCCACAGAGGTGCATGCTGAGATGTTGGCGAAGATTGATGAAAATGTGAAAAATTTGAGGGCCCGGCTTCTGGCGGCATCAGAAGCCGTTGAAGCATGTTCGCGTTATCGAGTTGACCGAGTTCAGTTCCAGTCGCTGAACCTGATGGAGCTGGCAGCGCAGCAGCGCAGAATGATTCACAGGGACCTTGGCAATTTCTACACTGTTGAAAATTCGTCTTGGCTGATAGAAACAAGAATCAAACCCCAACAAAATTGTTTGAACAAAGAGATGCAGTATCGCAAGTGTTTGCTTTCGCATCGTCAACTGGAGTTACTTCTGGAAACTTTGAGCGAAACAATGATGAAGGAGTATAAGGAGATTGCCTTTGACTTGCGCAGCTTACAGCGTGAGGTTCTTCCATCGAAGTTGACCTGTGCAAAGAGGCACCAACAGGCGAAGCAACATCTAAATGAAGATTTGGGGTTGGATGTGTATGAGTTTGCTTCTGATTCAGTGCTCTTGGTGAAAGCTTTGGAGGTTGGTTACGTATTGGACATTGACAAGGGCACGCGCCTTCAGACTGTAACAGGTGCGTGGCAGAAGTTGCTGTCAGTCATGTCCGTTGGTGAGATCGTGCATAGCCTGAAACAAGGGCTCTTGACACTGCTGCAGCATTTGCGCACGATGGATGTTGACAGACACTTTTGTGATCGGACCTCTGGGGAATTAGCGAGCAACAATTATGACATTTGGGTTTGGATGATGAAGGTCACGCCTTGAGCTGGTACAGCCTTTGGGCTTCAAATGTGAACCTGTGGCCCAGGAGGAAATGTGTTTTCGATATGTCGTCTGGGTGCATGCTGCCAGTGCGAAGATCCAACCAGGGTGCTGATGTGTGTGAAAAACAAACGCTGCAACGCCAAAGGAGCCATGGCAAAGAGATCATGGCCATTTGATGTCACGAGTTGGGATGACATAGTGAAGTTGCCTAGGTGAATCGGATATGTTTCGAGGAATGGACACTAAGAAGTCATGTGGAATTTGGTTTGCAAGTTCTTTGTCGATTCAATTTCACAAGATATTGGTCTGCTGAATACAGATTGATTGGCGGGATGTTCACAAATGATTTGGTCTGTCGCTTTGCCAGGTACATGCGTGGCATGGCAATGGAAGAGGTCATGCTCAGGAGCTTTACTGTGGGCATGTGGGAGTGGTTGAGTTTCGACAGTGAAGAGATGGGATTGTGTGTGGAGATATGTTGTGGGAAATGGTCACGAAATGAGTGAGTTTTAGCAGCATTAATGCAGCAGTGCGTATTGGCTCAACTCTTGCTGTAAGGGACTGAGGTTTGCTTTTCTTCGTCAAGCCATGTCGGAGCCTGTTTCTATCACAGGTTTGGTTGTGGCGTCTGAGCGTCCAGAGACAATTTTCATTGGCACCCGGAGCCGATTTCGCAAAGGAGCTGGGCATGTGTGGCGCTACGAGTTGAGTTCTGTCGGTTCTCAGCGCATCTATGTATGCCTCCAGCCACCGAGCACTACACATGCAAACGATGTGATGTTCATTGTGCCGCAACTGGAAGGTGATAGAGTCTTCTATGTTGCATATGAAGGCCGTGTGGTGAATGGTGAGTTGGAGCAGCGTGCTGCTGTGTTTCGCACTGCAGCTCCGTT